GGAGCGGCGCGGAGCGGCGCGGAGCCGCCCGCCGTCCCCCCGGCTCCCCGCGCCGCGGCAGGAGGCGGCGCGCGCGGCGTTTGCATCGGAGCCTCCTGCCCGCGAGCTGCCTGCATCCCGCCTCCTCCTCCTCCTCCTCTGCTGCCGCCGCGCCCCGGCTCGCGGCGGGCTCCCGCACGAGATGGCTTCGCGGCAGCGACTCCTTTGAAAAGGAAGGGGAAAAAACACGTACATCTCCCCGCTTCCCCCCTTCGCCGTGACCGTGAACAGCGAGTGCCAGGAAGGAAGTAAAGTTGCAAACAACCTGCAGCAGCAGCAGCAGCAGCTGTAACTTTCGGGGCTGCCCCAGCTGCATGTGTTCAAGGTGCCTTTGATGTGTGCGGCAGCTTCTGGAAAGTGGACTGCAGCTTTCCCGCTCCTCAGCCCTCCCTTTCCCCTCCCACCACCGCCACTTCAGCCCACACAGGCAATTTGTTTGAGAGAAACTGATGAAATGAACAAGAAGTGGTGAATTTCCCAAGCGACTTTCCCTAAAGAGCAAGCGAGGAAGAGGAGCTGCAGCGAGCGCAGCACCCGGAGCTGCCCAGGAGGGACCGGCCAACAACCCAGCGGGGACCTGTGGGCACTGCTGGAGTGTTAATGTCTCTCTGTAGCGAGATGCAAAAAGCCTCTTCTGCTTGGGTTTGATTTGCGATGCCGGCTGCTCTCTAGAATGCAAACCCTTGCACAGGATGAAAACAGGTTTGTTGCAAATGCTCCTGGAAATGTTTCATTCCTCACCACCAGCTGCCTGTCTGAGATGTCAGAGAAGATGATAATAATAACACAGTGGCAGATACCTCCGCTGGGTACCCTTTGCTGTTCTTTGGAGATGTTAAGGCAGAGATAAATCTTTTATGCAGCTGTCTTTTCCTATCTGCAGCGGTTGTTGCACAAGCTGCACTTGATTGCAGCTAAAATATTCTTTTTAAGATCCATTTCACAAAACGATGAAAAATAAACACAGATGGGAGAAGTGGGGGGAGAGAAAGCTGTAATGAAGTAGTGATGGTGGATTTATTTTCCTTCCTTCTCCCCTCCAATGCCCTCCCCAAAACGCGAGCCTTTTCTGATCACAAAATGCTAGGCTTCGATTTTAGAGCAGCAAATATTTTTTTGGCTCTTTGGCTGGGATGTAGAGGAGAGACTTCCAGCAGTGGCGCTCGCCTTACAGATGGACCTTCCTGAATGCCTGTAGCTGCTCAGCTTCTATCTTCATCCCTTCTAAAGTATGTCTTGCCTCTTCCATCACCTTGCAGGTCACTCTTCCAGAATGCCAGAGGAAAGTTCACCAAAGCGGAGTCCTCTCAACATCCCCTATAAGGACCTGCCTCATATCATCAATGCTGATGGGCAGCATCTGTTCTGCAGGTATTGGAAGCCAGCAGGAACTCCCAGGTGAGCACTTTCAGGCAATACTCTCTCTGCTCTCCGTAAATAAGGCTCTGTTCGTGTAATTGTTAATTATGGCGTGACTGGCATTATAGGGTTGTGTGCATACAGCTTTACAGAGCTGCTAAGACATTTCCCTCATCTGAGAAAGATCCTCCTGCAAAGACTCTATTCTCCAAGCCTTTGCTCACTCAGGCCCTGCTGCTGGGAAACAGTTATTTTTGTTTGTGGACAGTTGGGCAGGGTGGCAGTGCTACAGTGTAGTACCCACAGGTGTCTGAAGCCCGTCAGCAATTATAAGTATCTTCAAACTATTACCACAGACAGAGAGCAATGACATGCAGGCTTACTGATGTGTACTCCTGTTCATTTTCTCAGTGTCAACGCTTTAAACAGCAGCATCTGAATTCAGTTTGAACATTAATTGCAGAAATCTTAGGACAGCAGGCAGGTTTCAGTTTGACTGTATTGCTCTTTTGGGGTGTTTTAAAATTTGTAGTTAATGATTTAGGGAGCTCCTTCGCTGGAAACTGATTTCAAAACTGAATTTAAATAACGCCTTTTTGATAATTTAAATCATCTCTCTCCTGTAATGGATTTCTGTGCTGATTATGTGCTGATTAGGATCTGCTATGGAAAGCTAACTCGTTGCTTCCTTAGTTTTTATCATCATTTTTCTTTGTGACAGTGTCTGTTTTAAGATTCTGACTTGCATATATTCCTGCGTAAGTAGCTTCTTAACAAATATCTGGGTATTTTGTATTGTTTACTTTTTCTGCAAGCCATCAGGATAAGCTAGAGCAATTTTGTACAGCCAGGAAGCATTTTGGGAAGAAGTTGTTCAAGTAGTAGTTGGGAGCTAAACTTCGACTAGGTTAGACATCCTTTGATGTCCAAACCGGCCCGTCAGTGTGCTGAGAGATGGAAAGGTGTCCAAGTTAAAGGTGATCTTTGAAACCTGCCCCCAAGTTTCATGTCAGCCAATCCCCAGGGCCTTTCTGAGGGACGTTCTCTGTGCAGGTGAGTGCAAGCGATAGGCAGGGTGGCCGAGCAGCTCAGCAACAGCCACTGCTGCCCTGGCCCCACGAGAAAGGTGGTGCCCACTTCAGTCACTTGTGTTGACTGGGCTCTAGAACATCTGTCTTGGTTTCACATCACCTGGTCCACAGAGCACTCATTAGTTCCTTCCAATTGCTGCCTTTCAGAAACGGGGCGAAAACTTTTGGGCATTGATATTTTCTGTAGTCCTTGCACCAGCCTGGAGATTTCCTATACAGAAAAAACATGGTATCAAAACAAGCTTCTACTGTGAAACCAGCCTGTCTCATATTATAATGCTAATTAATCATTAACTGTCCACAATGTTCTTCACTGAGTTATTGAATTGCTCTCTCTTTTCATCTTTAATTTCTTAGCAAATTAGTAGCAAGTGGATATGTCTTTGATCAAGAAATGAAAGGATGATAAGGAACCGAAAGTTAAAACTTGGCGTCCTGTCTTTGCATAGTCAATTTTTTTCAGGGCTCCATGCACCAAGCAGTTAATTGAAAGGGAGTTTGCCCTAGTTTTGTGACAACAAAGTAGATGGGATCAGTGTTGCTCATTTACAAGTGGTTCCTAAGTGTGTGTTTGTGCGTGCATATTTGTGTACAAGGCGTGGGCATGCTGTTTATTATTAGCTCTTTCGGCATTGTTATGTATGAGAGAGATTGTAAGTAACTGAATAACAAGCTGGAGGCCTGCATCTACATTCAGGCGTGCTCTTGAAGTGCTTTGATAGAAAGGCAGACCAAAAATACATTTTTTCTCTCTTCATAAGTAGCTCAGCGTTTTCTGCCTCATATGCAGAAGCTCAGCAACTTTCATCTAATTTTAAATGTTCAGCAAAAATGGTTCGCCTATGTAGAGGGAGAGAGAGAGACACCTCGGGGGACTTTTAGAGGCCCATTACCAATTTATACTGTTTCTAATACTGAAAGCAACTCTCTGTCATCTAACTTGATCACTGATTCAGGTTGAAACCTTAACTTTAATGAGCGACGCTATAACAGTGAAACGACGGGATCTTTCCTTGATCCATTATATATCTAATCCCAACTAGGCCTATAGAAACCTTTTGAATGCAGATGTCCAAAGGTTATCATTGACTTCTATTAGAATAGAACATATCATCCTCAATGCCCCCCAGGGAGAAAAAAACAGGGTATCTGCCAATGGCAAAATTAAGAAGTGGAGCCTGGCAGAGGCTGAGCAGAAACAACGGGCAGCCCTGCTTCGATACGGGGCCGAGCGGCAGAACCGCCGCTTTTCCCAGCTCCTCGAGGTGGGTCAGGCCCGTGCCGGCCTCATGCGCTGCAGCCTTCCTTTTAAAAGCCATTTGTCAGGAAGATGGGAGATTTTGTAAGGATCTTTTGCTCGCCGCTCACAGATGCCCAGGCCGGGCTCCCGTGCGGGGCTGGGCTGCCCGCTCAGCCCATCCTGGTGCACATATGGAAGCTTTGTTGTGCGTGGCACCAAGGCCAAGGTTGTGGTGCCAGTGAAAGGCACCTATTGTGAGTTCCTCCGCGGGGTCCGCTTTGTCTCGCGGGGGGATTTAGGTGATTACTTCGCAGGAAGCTGACACACAAAGGCACTCAGATGTCACAGTGATTAGACGAGGTAGACAGAGTAGATATTAATGGGACTAAGGAGGGAGGCTGGCTGTGTTTGCCACTTCTCTTGGGGCGGGAGGTCACTCCCAAAAGGAGCGCGGGGGACGAGGTGTCCTCCCTTGCTCTCGCCTCGCAGCAGCTCACAGGCTGCCCAACTTGTTGAGCCAGTTTCATCTGAAGATATAATTAAGTGGTCTTGTTGATGCAGTGTGGAGAAAAGGCCAGCATGTTCTGGTGTCATTTGCTTGTGTCATGCCAAGAGCAGGATTTATGGAGCATGACAACAGGTAACTCTTTGGCACACGGTGCTCTCAGTAAATGTGAAGCTTAAGAACTGGGGTTAGGCAGAGTAAGTTCAGTGCGTTTTAATGTTGTTTGGAGGAACTAAATCACTGATAACAAAACATTAATCTCATGCCTATGACATGTCCAAGTAGCTGAGGAAATTCTACTTTAATGGCTCAAAATAAAAACAAAAACAACAGCTCCATGCAGGGACAAAATCTCTGCCACCACTCCCAGTGGCCTGAGTCAAAATATGAGGTAATAGGAGGTGAGGAACTAAGAGACCATGTTCTGTTCCCAGCTCTCAGACAAAGCTGCTAAGAATAGAGGTGGGATGAGGAAGAGGAAGGAAAGCAGGGAGAAGTCAAGACATTTCCTCTGAGGCCCCTAAAGGGCCTGGAGAAGTTCAGAGATGACCTTTTTTCCCCCTCTGTTTTGTATCCCTTAGCTTTTCCTGGATGCCTCAGTTGTTACTGTCACTGCTTACATAAGTGCAAACAATTTGAGGGGCACCCTCAGCCCCTCTGTATGACCCTGAGTGGCCTTTTGACATTCATGGACCTAGCTGAGCTTTTTAAAGGTGCTGATAACCTGTAGCCACCATTGACCTCAGGTGGAGCAAGTTATGTTCATCTCTCCCCCTGTAAATAAGTAAAAATCAGTTACTCTAGGTTGAACACTGGAAGCACTTGGGACACTTGGAAATGTTTGAGACACTTTGGAAAAAATGAAACATCCTTGAATATGACTTTCCTCATCAAGTAGAAGTAATAACCCGGCTATCTTGGTAGCTTGATGCTTGAATGTCTCTCCATGTGGTCATATCTAGGAGCACCTACATGACTGCAAGAGCAGTTGGAGATGAGAGGCCACAAATGTGCTCCTGGTCCCTTGTTAAGGGGAATTAAAAGGGGTTGGCTCAACTTTAGACATAGTGAACCCAGTGGCAATTGTTTGGGTATAGGCTGACCTTGCAGGAATTCTTTCACTTGTACTTATGAAAAGCGTGATTAAAAATACGAAATGAAACAAACAAAACCCCCTTGCTTTTCTATTTACATTTTATTTGGATTTTATGCTTTGAAAAATGCCTGCTGTTCATTCTGACTTGTTAGCATTGAAAGACCAATCCAATAAGAAGAAAATATATTTCTCTCTTCCCGAAAGACTTTTCAGAATTGCCTGGGGTGCAGAAATACAAACTGCCTTTATACTTGAACCAGCCCTTAAGTTGTTGAGTATTGCTTGCTGATTTTGGCACTTCATTACCAGCATTTCTATGGCATTTCCAGAAAAACAGCCTAGCTCCCAGCATGAGCAGATGACAAGGTTGAATATGACTTTCAGAACCTTCCAAAATGTATAAATAAATAAATAAACTGAAGCAAAATCAAAGCAAAAGGAATCAAGTCACTAATTATAATGACTTCAATTATACTGTGCAGTGTTAGACTTTAGAAATTGAAAGTAAAAAAATAGCTGTCTGTCTGATGCATTAAATGCATTTCTGCTCCACTTGGCTTTTTCAGTTTGGTGGCAGCCCAGCTCTGCAAGATGTGTCCAAGCAAGGTAGCCTCCTTACAGGGATTTCTAATCCAGTGTCACTATGGGACAGTACTGCTGTTTTTACTAACGAGGTCAACCTCAAACGAATGCACAAGGACCGAATGTGTCTCGTGCCTCCTTGCATGGTGCACAGGGCAAATAACAGAGTTTTCCTTAAGGACTGTCGTTGTCGAATCAACATTTCAGACTATACTTGCTATATTGCTCTTGCCTGCGTCTCTAAAATCTTTCTTCTCCTATTATATATGTTCCTTTAATGCTCATGATCTCTTTGTTCCATGTGACTGCTTTATCCACTGTGAATGGAGCAACGCTTTGGCATTTCTTCTTCATTTGCAGAGGGTGGGCAAATTAACAAAGAAATTTCACATAAGAGGAACTCTTTGACAGGCAGGAGAGCAGCTTCCATTCTTGCTGTAGATGTTTCCAACAGCTTTTATTAGTAGGATTTGTTTCTCAGTCCTGACAAGAACGTTCCACTGAAGCAAATCTGCCTTTGTTTTG